TCTTCAGGACTTAAGTTGCGTGTCATGTGCCAACAGTCGCCTGATGGCCCTGAAGCGGATGGGCATTGTGGACAACTACGAGCAGATCCGCCAGTTTACAGTGGCCGTGGTGGGTGTCGGCGGCGTGGGGTCGGTGGCGGCCGAGATGCTCACCCGCTGCGGTATCGGAAAGGTGAGCGGATCCCCAGGTCGCGGTGGCCGTGATGGGCGTGGGCGGCGTTGGCTCGGTGGCGGCCTTGATGTTCACCCACTGCGGCATCGGAAGGGTGAGTTGCACGATCAGCTCGGCTGGGCCGCCCACAGTTTGGACAGTCGTTGCGTGATATTGCAAGGTGCGTGTAGTTTCATGTCTATATTATGACCTACAAGTGAGTTAAGGCTTAACAAAGTTTGTTGTGGGAAACTGACCCTCTCCCTGATAGAGAGGGGGTAGAAGGTGCGAACCTCTCCCCTAAGGTTTTTGGGGCAAGCCTCTCCGGCGTGCCGGCAATCTGCCCAAGTTTTCAGGAATTTTTGGACACCCATTGCGCGTGTTTTGACACCAAAACGTCCCTAGTATTTCTAGTTTCGGGGCAGCGGTGGCTCTGTGGCACATTGCGCAGTGATCTACGGCCTACAGCGTTAATGGAGCCATACATCATAAGTACTTGCGCAAGACAACAGCCTAAAACGTATTGCCAATGACGAGGTCCTGTTGGGACCAGTCCACGGGTGTTCTCTTTTAGAGTTTGTGGTTCCTGGTTAGTAAATAACAGAAGGTTCTATCGACCCCACCCACCCCTTCTGTATTTGTTCGTGTTATGAATAACTGTGAACTGGGGCGAAGGTTAAGGTAAAGCTTGTCTAAAAGATGTTAATGGATCACATTAGATATCTGAGATTGAATATGCTGATCCCGCCATCATTAATACGTATCATTTGCTTAGCTTCCCTGTTAACACAACGCCCATTTTAAACACTCACACAACGTACTACGGGAATCGAAGATCGCCTGAAAAGACCATGCATGAGCAGTTTTAATCGCCTTTGCAGGTTTATTGCCGTGATTTTATGCAAATGCTTTAAATGTGTCGATGAGACAGCCGCCCTGCTGCCCCCTGATTGTCCCGACGCCAACGGGCGCGACGTATTCCACTGGCGGCGAGCAGGCGGGCGCCGCATCAGCGTGCGGGCCGTGTCTGCTGCGGTTCAGACTCCCGTGCCTCCGGCAGCTGCTGCTGTTCGACTACGACAAGGTGGAGCTGGCCAACATGAACCGGCTGTTCTACCAGCCGCATCAGGCCGGCCTGAGCAAGGTGGAGGCGGCCGCGCGCACCCTGGCCAGCATCAACCCGGACGTGATCATCGAGTGTCACAACTACAGACATCACCACCGTCGAGAACTTTCGAACACTTCATGGGCAGAGTCAGGTGATGCGTTCGCGGTGCGGATATGGAAGCCGCGAGTCCTCAGTGACCTGAGAGATCGACTGAGATGATTTGGTTTCAGTCCTGGTATACGTGTGACCAGCGTCGCGGCAGATCGGGGCGGGAGCGCGCAAGGTCGTCTCCTAACGGATGAATCACAAACGTGTCCAGGTCGCCGATGCAGTTGTGGTGTCCAACATCCGTCCTTTGTGTTTGCAAAGAGGGGGACGGGAATGACTAGGTCCTGCACATTGCCGTACTATTCCGTGCACTAACAGCATTTTAGTGCAGATCATCGTCTCCGCAAGTATGGCTTGCTCGGTCACGTGAGGCGCCAGAGACGGCCCCGCTGACCTGTTTTAACACGGCTGCAGTTCTGTGACTGTCCCGTCCGGCTGGGCAGGTCCGGGAGTCTGAGCGACGGGCCGGTGGACCTGGTGCTGAGCTGTGTCGACAACTTTGAGGCCCGCATGGCCATCAACACCGCCTGCAACGAGCTGGGCCAGACCTGGTTCGAGTCGGGGGTCGCCGAGAACGCCGTGTCCGGTGAGGAGCTGTTCTGGCGGCGCGCTCGACGGCGGGGAGGACGGGCGACGCCGGAACACCGGGGCAGGCGCCGGGTTACGGAGGGGGCCAGGGTGGGAGTGGGAGAAGCGTGCTGGTAGAGGCGCCCTGGGGTGAGCGTGTTGGAGGGACCAGAGAAACTGGTGGGGGAAGGAGAGGGGGCGGTGTAACTCAGTAGGGAGAGCGTCCTTTGCGGAGCGTCGTGGGCGTCGTTGGGAGGATAACTGGCGTCTCATGTGAGCTATCCTGTCGCGAGAGCGCGACGCTCTCGTTCCAGGCTGAGGCGTGGCTGTTGGGGATCGCTTGGTCAAATATCAAAACATTCACCACGTGGAAACACTGAACGCGTGGCTGCTTGGACACTACCTCTTTGTCAGCTTGTTGAAGCCTTTAAGCTGCATCACTTAGTTTTTTACCGTAATGTCCCGTGACCTCCTAATAATGCTAGGCATAACGTCAAGTTCCACGAAGTTAGAGTTTAACCCTGCTATCGCTCCGCGTGACAAAATCCATGATGGACGTGGCATCTGAACGCAGTTGCTTCACACGATTTTGCATGGCTTAGTGACAGCGCCAAACTAAGGACTTTCCGACTTCCTAAATTGCTTGCTTGTCTGCATTGTCAATAGCCGTTACAACGTTGCGTTTCTTTTCGACGCATGTGTCTGCTGTGTTGTGGCTTTTCACGCCGATCAGTGTGTGGGGAGACCAAAAAGCTCTGGACTCTCCTTTTCCACAAGGCCATGAAAAGCGTGCACTTCCCTCTAAACACTCTGTAATATAGGTTCCATGTAAAATAACAACCCCGTTACTCTCTTTCGCTCCTCCCGACCACCACCACGCCAACTGCGGCCGTACCTCCGCACCGTTCTCCCCCGTCGGCCACGCCTATCCCCGCCCCCGCTGCCCTGACCTTCCTGACCGCCCTGACCGCGCTGAACGCTGACCTACATGACCATCCTGACCTCCCTGACCGCCCTGACCGCCCTGACCATCCTGACCTGCGTGACCTCCGTCACTGCTCTGACCGTCCTAACCTCCCTCATCGCCCTGACTCCCTAATCGCCTTGACCTCCCTGACCGCCTTGGACCTCCCTTGACCTCCCTGACCTCCCGCCTCAGGTCACATCCAGATGATCGTGCCGGGTGAGCTGGCCTGCTTCGCCTGCGCGCCGCCGCTGATCGTCGCCTCGGGCATCGACGAGAAGACGCTGAAGCGGGACGGCGTGTGCGCCGCCTCGCTGCCCACCACCATGGGCGTCGTGTCTGGCCTGCTCGTGCAGAACACGCTCAAGTGAGTGGCGAGCGGGCGGGCGCACGGCTGCCGTCCGCGCGGCTCGTGTCATGGCACGCTCCGCTCGGGACCGAGGGCACTGCTGGGAAACATCCACATGGCTCAGGGATGGCTCGATGTCGCCTCTTTACCGATACCTCCTGGCATGTTGAACGCCGGCTATTTTCGACGCTCACAATGGCTGCTTTCAGCTTGGCTGCATTGTTTTTTGTGGTGGGCCACCGTAGTGTAAAGCCAGTAGTGTATATTAATTAAGTAGTGGATTATAGTGTAGTAGTATATAACCGTAGTGTAAAGTGGACTTGCTGGTCAGAAAGCTGTTGGGAGTTGTCACGTCTCTGTGCGGTCGGCCTGAGCCGTGTTCGGTGTCTTTGGACCGCTCGGTCTGTGACGTCACTGCCCCCGGGTGGCTGTGACGTCATTCACACGGGAACTGACGTCACTGGGATGGTGTGGTGATGCCGACGCGAGCGGCTCACGCTGGTCCAACACCGGGACTGAGGGGCTGACGGTGGGCCTGCCCGACCTCAGATACCTGCTGAAGTTCGGCTCGGTGACCCACTACCTGGGCTACTCGGCGCTGCAGGACTTCTTCCCGACCATGAGCATGAAGCCGAACCCGACCTGTGACGACTACATTGCAGGTACGCGGTCCGACCCGTGTGGCGTGACACCGTGTGCGTACGCTCGTCTGTGCCAGGTCACCGAGGGGGTGTAGGGCGTAGTTTTGCAGAAGGATTGATTGTATTAGTATCACGAATGAACTAATTGCTTGGGCTATCACCTCATTTGATGCGTCAGTACGCACACAATGCCTCGGCCATTGGCTCTGCGACCGTTGACAAGTGTGAGTCCCGACACCCCAGCGTCCAGGGTGGTGTGTGAATTCAGCCGTGTATGAGTCACAACCTGAAACTCTCCTGGGAATGGCTGGGATTCGAGCCGGGGTCCTCTGAGGGTAGATTCGGGTTGTTACGCATACGTGACGGGAAGTCAGACACCATCCAGTCCTTGTCAGAACTCAATATCACCTGGCGACGGCCGGAGAATCAACTGTCTGAAACGCTGTGCACATGGTAACACCTTATCAGGTGATAGTCGGAACAACTATTTCATCCGCTGAATTGACCATTTAAGCTGCTTGAAGTGCATGGGAAAGCGTAGATCATTTGCAATGGTTTTGCTCAGAATATCCGCTCCCGGAAAGCACATTTTTGTGCCTTTGGGGTGCGTGCTATGTTTTCCTTAGATGCGTCGTGTCGGTAGACCTCTGATATTTTATTTTCGCGGCACAAAGGTGGAATCCGTCAAGCACGTAAAAAGCCTGCATCCCACAGAGCTGCACCAAGGAGTCAATAGAGGATGCAGTTTCGGGAGCCTGGGCTAGTGCTAAGCGTGCATGCCTTTGTTCGTAACCGTGCTGCACATCCAGAGACGTTTCTGCACACACTTAAATTGAGTGTGGCGACAGATTGTTGTGGGACGGCTCTCTCCCCTCCCCAGAGAGCGGCGGAGAGAGTTCCTGGAGCGGGAGGCCTCCAAGCCGAAACAGGAAATAGTGGAGGAGGCGGCCCCAGAGGTGCTGCACGAGGACAACGACTGGGGTGAGCACTGCCGGCGGGTGTGTAGCACCCCAACGTCGAGGAGGGTGACGGGCGTGTGATCCTTCATCCACTCAGGCTAGGAGGATGACAGGTTTGGGGACGTTTGCGCACGGGTCCGTCTTCTTTTGTCCAGTGACCCGTACGTCGAAGGCGTACGCTTACGCTCTCGTGACAGCGTATGACTAGTGTGACAACAATGGTGTGACACTTGGGTCTCACCCTGTGTGGCACTGAGGGCTCATCCTGTGTGACGCCGGGGGCTCATCCTGTGTGACACTGGGGCTCATCCTGTGCGACACTGGGGCTCATCCTGTGTGACACTGGGCGCTCGGCAGGTGACACCCGGCGAGCTATTGTTGTGTCGTTTGACTGGGCCTGCTGCCTTCCACACCCTGACGTGCCCGACGACGATGATGGTGTGATGATGCGATGATTCGACATCCTGGTGATGATGCGCCACGGCCTGACGCCGCGCGTCGCCGGCAGGCATCAGCCTGGTGGAAGAGACGGCGCCAGAGGAGGCCGAGCCGGAGCTGGTCCAGGGCGTGCGGCTGGCCTACAGCCGGCCCGACCAGCCGCCCCCGTCAGCCGAGCCGCAGAGCGCGCCGGCGGCGGACCCGGAGGCCGGCGCCGCCGACCAGACCAGCCTGGACGACCTGCGCGCGCAGATGATGGCCCTCTGAGACGAGCCTGGCGCGGAGGGCGGCCGCCGGCGGCTCACACGTCCCCTCGGTGGCAGCGGTGGCCGCGGTGCCGTCCCGCGGCTTCGCTAATGCCGGCGATTTGTGGTGGCGGTGGCGTGGGGTCGGCTCCTGCAGGTGGTGTGGCTCTGAAGCTTGCGGAGTGGTCACACCAACACGACCTTGGTTCGGTGTTCGGGCCCCCTGCGATGCCGCTGCGGTGGTGCTGCGTTGTGGCGAAGGTATCTCGTTGGCGACGACTGAGTTCAGGTGGAAAACTGCATTGGTCTTCACCGGCCAATGGTATTCATGTCAAACGTTGTTTGTTGTTGGTTTAATTTTGAAACAATGTATGGTGGATGCTACTGCTCTTAGTTGTGTGACCTCAGCGTCCTCTCTTTCTTGCATGGGACAATATTTAACATTCCAAAGCAAGCAGTCACACACTAGGGCTGTTTTGCTCAGTAGACCCAGGTCCTGCGCGTGCAGCACCAGTGTGAGCGGCTCCGGGGGGGGGGGGGGGGAGGGGCGACGGGTGTCTCATGGCCCGACCGACATATCGCGGGGGGCAAGACCGCCAGATCAACCACGATGTCGTACGTCACGGCTCCGACGTTTTCGATGACTTTCGACGCGTCAGCCTGCATGACCCTTCTGACTCGGATCCATCCCGCCTGGAGTTGTCGCCGTATGAGCCGGTGGCGTCACCCGAGAATGCGTTAGGAAGACGAGTGTCGTGTGGGCCGTATTTATTGAACTGCCGGCGGCAGTCTATTTTTGTACGCTTGGTGGTTGGCGAAATACAGCCAGTGGTGCTGGCGACGTGGTACGAGTTTTTGTTCAACCTGTCGGGCCCAGCAGGTGCTTGGCCTGACGGTGATGCAGTCTTTCCGGGCCGCGGTCAGCTGTGTGGGGCCAAGTCACAGTGGATGTCTCGTCTGTGCACGTAACGGCTGCTAACGCAAGCGAGATCACGAGGGAAAACAACGGACCAGCGGTAATTTATGTACCGATCCCTGCTACAGACATACTCTAGCACTAATAACAGGAAAGCAATGTGTCTTAATCGTTTTATTGGACAACGTCAAAAATTATGAACATTGCATCACATCACTAGAACGTAAGGCAACAGGGAAAAGCCCATCTGTGCCGGTTCGCGGGCGAGGATGGAGGATGAGAAGGATTATCCGTTCACAAGCTGCTCGAACCGCGACAGCACGACGACGACATTGTGACAGCTAAATTGACACATCTGTGACACAATGGTCGTCTGTGCACAGCACGACAGACGACCGAGTGTTAATGTCCCACAAGAATACGTTCTGCGCCTGTGGTTGATATTGCACGCGGCCTCTGCAGCGCGTTGAATGCCAGACAGACGCCGTGATGCGTGTGTGACAGACAGGGGTGATGCGCATTCCACATGCACAACCCCTTGCACATCAATTATTACACGTTGCCAACAAAATGTGGGGTTTGCAGGGCATGACTCAATGGCAACACGCACTTCTCGACCCAAAGCGTGTAGTCTGGCACAGTCGGCGACAATTCAGTCAATGAAGTAAACCAAGCCCGGAAACAATGTCTGAAGCGAGGCTTCAAATGAAATCAAAGCTACTTGGGATTCATCCAATTGGTCCCTTGACGCGAGCTAGGAAAGCCTGTGTGAAATGGAAGCTGATGGCGCAAGTTTTAAACCCCACTTCATCTTAGACTCCATCCTCATCTGACAGTCACTGTTCATTCGTATTACAACCTTAGTTTGTAGTCCCCGAATAAACATCTCCCTACGAGAAACGAACCACTAGGTTCGGAGCTACGCTCTTTTCGTTGGTTTGCTGTTTGCGGAACGGTAAGCACCTACTTACTGCGAGCTTCAAACGCCTCATCCTCGTTCGTCCCTTTTGCATAATTTCGGGAAGGAAGCTGGACTCTACAGTATTAATTTAAAGAAGATATACATACCATAGCCTACCCAGACATTCAGGCGAGGTCCGATATAATCGGACAGCAGTAGGGGATTCTCCTTGGACCCCGCAGTGTTAACGCCACGTAGCCCAGCCCACCGACATACGGCGAATGGGAGGGCGCCTCGCTGTGGCTCGACACCACACGCGCACGCGGCCTCCATTCAGGGCGAGTCGACAGACGGCACCGCCGGCATGGAGAGCGCCTTTACGTGCTGCCCAATCTCGAACGGACTGTTGTAAAACATCGGACAGGATCTGATCTGGGAACTTCTTCAAAACTGCGTGCGAAAGCGGCTTGAATCAGACGTTTGACGCCGACAGCGGCACAGCTACTCTACAGTCACGCTGTCCCCAGCAAGATCACGAGATTTCGATCCAGCCCGGGATTATGTCCATCCACTGTTCATAATGACAGGTTACCCTCGAGCGCAAGGAAAAGTTGCTCACCAAAGTGAGACCCCTGTGAGGCCCTGCCTCAGCTAGATTTTCACATCTCTTGGTTATGACTTACCCCAGAGGATTAGTATTCCCGGTAATGATGACGGCGTTGGGAATGCCTGTGCCCATGACCGTGATGCACCTTTTAAATCCGAAAATTCCCTCGATTCGCGGCCAATAAAGCATAGAAAATGAGTGAAGACAAAATTGTATGTTCCTTGCAGATGACAACGATTTATAGTTAACAGAGGTGGACAGCGAACACCTGGACACGAGGCATATGGATTTACTTCGTGGTCACGGGGTAAGAGTGAGGTTAGTGTCATCTGGAAAACATAAACATACGCATAGTACCCGAGATACGTCAAGAGTGCAAACAATATGCCACTGAGCAACCCACAAGTGCTAGCATTTATCTGCTCCCTTATCCGCTCCTGTTAAGGAGAGCACTAATTACTTGAAAACGACCTGATAAAGTTATTGTGCTAAGTAGTGCTGCGCAAATTAGCGGGATGGGGGAACCAGTACACACCAGGTCCCCAGGTTGTCGACAATGTTCTAGGGTCTGGAGGAATAAACAGCTTCGTACGCTAAATTCCCCTATAAGCTGCGCCGCAGACGTCATCGCGGTCGGTTCTCCGCGCACGGGTCGTGCTCTCATGTAGTTAGAGTCAGCGAGCTCCCATAGCACTCCACCCATTACTGGCGGCGAAACCCGCCTCCCTACCGCGACTCCATCCATCCCAGGAGCACGTCAGAGCCCTAAAGATCACAGCAAACGACCAGAATAGCGCCAGCTCGGCGCCCCACTCAGCAGACGGGTCAACACTGTCAGCACAACCTGGCTTGACAATCCAGTGTTTGGGCATGCCTTTCCAGTAGGTGTGAGCGAGCCTTTTGGCACCCGAGTTCCGCAGCGTGTACTACACAATGCACTATGATGTATGACATCGACAAGCGCCCCCATGGAATGGCACCTTCACACCGAACAGGACAAAACTACGGAACCAAAGCCCACATCGGATGGCACCCGTGCAGAACTACAGCTGCTAACAGAAAACGTGACGTCATTGGTGCTTTCGGGCGCGTCGACTGGAAAACGTGACGTCAGAACAATCAAATAACATCTGCGCAAATCCCCCACGCCAGACGCCGAAATACCCTAGAGCACGCTGGAATTTGCAAAGCCATACCGCTGCCGCCTAGATCGCTTGTAGATCGACGGCAGCAGCATCACGAACGCCAGCAGGAGCAGCTTCAGCAGCGTGGTCTTGGAGAACAGATCGTCCAGAGACGACAGCGTGCCGATGACGTCCCCCGCCTCCACACAAACGAAATTGTACGGCATCAAACCTGGGCAGGGAAGCAGCCGCAGCATACACGTTAGGCCAGGCGTGGGACGGAAGGCATTGGTCACACATGTGTCTCCCAACGGCGCGGCTGCTCAGAGACGTTGGGTTATATGATAACGTGATTAGTTCATATGAAGTCCCGGCTTCTACGGAGCATTTACAATCGGATAGCTAAACCCTACCTGAATACCCGAATATCAGTATTCAAGGATCTCACACTAGAATGCTGGATGCTATCAATTAAACGCTTTCACAATTGAATGTCGGTCAAGAGCCCCAAATTTACGCACGGACACATCCAACACATAACAGCCTGGTCCAAGTAAAACGTTTTTGCCTGAAGGCCATTCATTGCCGTCCAACAGTGTACAGCAATGACGTGAACAAATCGGATACCCAAATATGCTTACCCACAAATACTGAGAAGCAGAACATATGAAGAGGCACCCCGACAATTGGGGAGGCCATATTGACGAACCAGTTCGGCGTCATCGGAAAAATACGAATGAATAGTAGAAAATACAGCAACTGGTGACGGTTCCGATGCACCTGAAACGAATCCAGACGATGTTCCAGCGATGACATGTGAAGAGACAGAAGCTTAAGATCCATTTCGAATAACACGCATTGTCGCATTTCACGAACACCACAACCAGACGGGCACCTTCGCACTTTGCGGAGAAATCGATACAACTTGCACGTAAATGAGTCAAAATTCTTATTCGCTTCGTTCCGAGAATCGTAAACATGGCACGCCACCCTCATCACGTCATCCCTGCTACGCAAGTCACTACCCGGAAGAACATACAGAAAATCGCGATGAAATAATTCATGGCTGCTCTCACTGCTGCGACCCATGGGAGAGCCACTCACCGTGTCCGTGAGATCCACGATCCGCTTCTTGAAATACTTGAGCAGCAACTGCCGACAGCAGTACTTGCTTAGCAGGTAGCAGTTCGTGGCGCCGAGCGCCGTGAGCGCGCAACACAGCATCCAGCCGTCCAGCGCGCCGTACAGGGCGCCCGACAGCACGTTCAGAAACATGCTGCCCGGGATCGAGAACGACTGCTTGTAGATGTAGGCGCTGCAGAAGAGCACCAGCGTGTATAGCCAGTGCTCCTCCTGGTAGCGGCGCAGCAGCACCGCCAGCGACTTGAGCTCGGCGAACGTGCTCGGGAACCGCAGGCGGGCGCTCTCCACCTGGGAGAGGAGGTCAGCGGCGCCTCACGACGCGGAAGGGCTTGTCGGGCCGCGCCACCCCTGCCCAGGCCACTTTTCCTTCGAACTCACGAGCAGCGTTGGATGGAATTAGCTCACCATTTTCAGGAAACAATATGTGTTAAGTGAATCTCCAATATGCCACTTTTTCTTAGTCGCAAAAATATATTATACATTAGCATAACTGTATTGCAAGGGGGGCTTTGAAATAAGTTCATGGCATGCTTACCTTGTCACAAAGGCTGCCATTCCACCACCCTTGCTGCACAATGACAGTAAGTGGGAGGTTTGTCTTGAACCTTTCAACTAGCTACAAATAATGGTTGCCTCATCAAGCAGAAAGATGAATAACAACCTGCATGTTGTAATGAACGGACCAATGTATGATGATTAAGCATGTTGGAATGGAGCAAATTTTGAAACACATGCACATTATGCACATTAACCACATTATGAAATTAATTTTAACAGTGCAGGCTTAAGTCCCCACAGCAACCAGCATATACAAATCTAATGATCTTAGAATCTAGCAAAATTGCAAAGACCACACTATGATTGACATAAATGAAGAATTTGTGACATTTGACATGCATTGCTTGTAGCTTGCCATCCCATACATCCAGCTAACCAATGTGTGGGAGTGCATGGCTTGGACTGACCTGCTCATCAGAGGTGGTGAGAGCTGGTGCCCTGCTGACCAGGAGGTACAGCCAGAGGGTGGAAACTGACACCACAGCAGGTAGGATCCAGATGTGACTCACTTGTCCCGGCATCAGCACACCTGATGGGTGTTCAAGGTGCAGCCTGCAAAAAAAACAGCACCAGATAAGCACATGAGTGAAGCAAGGGTCTAGTTGCTTGCTCTACTTCCTGTGTGTGCATCTTGTTTCATGTTTTTGCTGTGATGTGTATTTGACCATTTCAAGTTACAGCTGAGGGTCTTTTCTCTGTAGCCCAGCTGGAAGCATCAAAGAGATTCCTGTCAATGCATGGCAAGCATGTGAACTTGTGTACCAGAAACTGGGCCTATGTCACAAGGCTGGGACAGATGTTTGGGCATCATGTTGAAACATGACATGTTTTCTTAGTAAAGGCTGAGCTTAAATTAAATTGTTGCAGTACTAGCATCAGGTATTTACATTAACCTATGCTTGGCAGAGACTTTGTCATCCATAAGTTATTTCTGCTTGGTGACAACATTCAGCCCATTTTTTCTAGCTCCAGCTTGGTTTTCATTTGACCAGTCAGATAAAAGGATGTGAATTGTCATTATCACCATGCCCTCACCTAGATATAGTTCTAAAACTAACTTTTGCAACATAGATCACTTGCTTGGATATGCCAATGATAACAATTCTTACACAGGTAACATTGTTGCAAAAAATCTATTCTGTCACACAGAAGATCAACTATGAGATGATATTGCCCAGGCCTATCAGCCAAAAAACACTATGCATTTCTAATGTGAGGTACATGACCATGACAGAGCCACCTATAGCAATCATTTCATTCTTCATCTGGCATGTATCATGCCTGGGGTGGAAATCAAACACAATGAAGTGATTGTTGCCTGGAGTCCACTATGTATGGTAGCCTGACAAATCAGACGTATACCTACTTGAAGTTATAGGCTAATGCATGACAGCCAACACAAGTGTGAAAGCTCACCTCCACCTGTAACCAGCTCTTCGACTAGGAATACCTTTTGTCAAAATGTAAGTCATGGGGGGAGACCTTTCATATCTGTGCAGCCTTGTCCCTTCAATGCTTGTTTCAGCCTGTATGTTGTAAAAGACTACATAAGTTGTTAACCATACTTGCAAGGAACATTATACATAATATATAGCAGTAGCAAAGTCTTAATGCCCTGTAGACAAGCTAGGAGAAAGGAGAGGTAGATTTATTGATATTTCAGTTACATGCCTTTATCAAAAGACACATCAGCAGTATTTCCCAAACAGATTTTCAATCTGAATCCCGAGCATTGTGAAAAGTGGATTCTTAACCAATGATATTTGTTTTGATAAAGACATGTAGCTGAAATGTCAATGCATCTGTATCCACTTTCTTCCGGTTATTCTACAAGGAAAAAAGCCACGAGTACTCTCATATTAAGTTGTCAAAGACAGCAGAACCTTTTAGAAGTCAGACCTTGAACCCGTAATGAATTTTCAAGCTACCTTGATGATGTTAACATTGATTACATATTCGTTCATGACCAAAGGGTATCGCTGTATCAATAAAACTACCGGTCAGCCACATGTGCCACACACAGGCCCCAGATTGTTTACCTACTCCTGTTTTCGACGGCAGACGAGATACCTTACAGCCATTGATTCCCAATGTTAAACAGCATTGCCATTTGCCTGACTGCAATGAGTTTCAACAGCCTCATATATAAGCCTAGACGCCGTGCATAATACAAAACACACCGGTCCGACGAACGCCAGTTAACCAAACGCTCACTGCGGATCTTTTCTCAAGTTGTGTGCGCTACCTATTCGAAACAGGAGCTTCGAATAAGCTTCAAAATGACACATAAGTACAGGCAGGCAAATACATTTTCTATCAACACACGCTCGGCCTACACATAAAAGTTTTGTGACATACTCCCATAGTATTAGCTGCATTGTACTTAATTGAGTTTTGGTTCTTCTATTATTCACAAGCAAAACAACGCATGTGCTGCAATGAAAACTACGATGTCTTTCTTCGCCCTAACCTGCTACCATCGAGGCAGAAAGCCGAAATCTGAGAAGTCTGCAAGACAGTCCACTAGTGACGCGGCGCTGAGAGGGAGAGGGTGCACAGGAGGCAAATGCCCCCCCCCCCCCCCTTAGGTACCGAGCGACTCCAAGAGCCCCGTAGAATGGACTCATAGGTCCGAAAAGTTGTCCGGAGGTCGTGTTCAGGGCCCCGATTGACAGTGTGAGGCGCTCAGTGCCAGCCAGAGGGTCTTTTGTGCGGCTGGGGGTCCCCCTGAGTTGATAAGGGCCTACGCGTCGGTCAGACACCATCAGTTCCGCATAGTCCACTCTGTGTCGGCATGGGCACAGTCCACTAGTGAGCACAGTCCACTGAGGTCCCATCTCCCAAGCAGGGACAAATCCGAAGCCAGCGATTTACGTTGGCCGCGGTCTCGTCGTCTGTCAGGGGCCCGCAGTGCCTAACGTGGGGCCCTGAATTGGCAAAGAGCCCCGAATCGCCAGTGGCAGTATTCAAGAGGACCCGAATAGAGCCTGGAAGGCTACTCGGACCGGTGATCACGGGGATCACGATTGAAGGGCCTAACGGCACGATGGACTGGCCGGAGTCTAATTTAGGGCCCCCGGCCTACGGGGACGAGCCCTCAAATAACAGCCAGACGGCACTTCAAACCGATCGGGGAGCCCCAAGTCAATAAGGACCTTTTTCGGTTAGGCACCATCAGTGCCCCACAGTTGACTCCGTGTCGGTATGGGCCTGAGAGCCCACTTCCGAAGCAGCGCAGGGCAAGGGTCAGCCATTCATGGTGGTCGGGCGGGACCCCTGCATCTGTCAGAGGCACATAGTGCCTGACAGGGGTTCTTTGTTGGTAAGGGGTCCCAAGTCGACCAAGGACAGTGTTCGATGACGCCTGAAGAAGGGCCCGATGGGCCCACCAGAACCGACGCCCAAGGACCCGGTTGTATGGCACAAGGGCCCGTGGGGGTGGCCGTAAGTCACATAACTGATAATCACCCATCGGGGAGTGACCTCAAACGTAAGTCCAAATGCTTTTTGCATCGATTGGGGACCCCTGGTACAGCGGGGACCTATATTTCGGCGAGAGACCTTTACGACGACCTTTGACCTGATTTGCCATGTACAGAGTCCCTGACACATTAAGAGGCTTCTGTGTCGGTTAGAGGTTCATAGTACCTAACGGGGGTCTTATGTCGGCACGTGGCCTCGAGTCGGCCCGTATCCGTACTTGAGGGAGCCCGAAGAGGGGCCGGAAGGTCTCTCGAGACTAAATACCAAAGACCCGATTGGAAGGCTGAAGGGCCTGAAAAGCTGACTGTATGTCACAATTAAGGACCACCGCCCGTAGGGTCGTGCCCTCAAATGTCATCTAGAGGGTCTCCTGCATCGATTAGAGACCCCTGAGACAGTTTGTGCCTCTTTTTCCGCCAGAGATCACCAGCACCGAACAGTCGGCTCCGTGTCTGTCTGAGTTTTGGATGCCCATTTCCCAAGCAAGAACAAGCCCAGGCCGCTGATTTGCATTCGTTGGAGCCCTTGCAACGATGTAGGGCTCCTACGTCGGTCGGGGGCCCAGTGTCCAATAGGGTGTCGTGAGTCAACAATGGGCCTCCCGCGTTGGTCAGGGCCCTCTGACAAAGAAAGGAAACATGAGGACTTATGACAAGAGCTGACACTGATACCATGGAAGGGTCCTGTGTCAGTCAAGGCTCCCGGTACCAAACGGTGGGCTCTCCAACCCAATTCCAGCCATGAGCCAAGACGTGTTTGCCCGCGCACGTCATTCTTTTCCAGAATCGACTAGTGAAAAAACATCAGCAAGTTTTGACCCTGCGCGCATGCAATCTCGTGAGCAAGAGCAGCGATGGCCGGGACTGCCGCTTCCATGAAATTCAACGGCGTCGGCCGCTACAGGTAACACCAGGCGGCGGGCGCTGTGCGTGCGAAAACGACCGCCGTGAAATAATGCCTCCTTATGTCTGTATGTCTTTAAAATCAACCCGCCCCGTTCAGAGATAAGACTGGGCGTTTTGTCTCTGGGGCGACTTTGTACAGTTTTGAGGTTCTGAGACTGCAACGCCGGGCGTTGAGGTATTTGCTGCTATGATTTGCGAGCGCGCTAGTTCAAAACTGCGTTACATAAGCTTTATCATGCATCAGTTGTCACTGAATGTTCAATATTTCCGAACAAACATGGGCAGGAGCAAATAATACAGATTTTTGTTCCATTTCTATCTGCAACGTACGTTCACGGGGTCCGTAATTGCCCTATAGAATCTACATCAAAATTCTAGCAAAGCTTGAGGTCCGTCGGTTCAGAAAGAGCTAACTTAACTTTTGTAGTATAAAGTGCCGGCGATTTATTCTATGCAGTATTTCAAGGCCTGATATATTCAATGCATCGCCTTTGAAATTAAAAAGAATTGACATCACGTTAGCTTCTGGTTTCCGTTCTTTTTTTTAAAAGGTAAAAATAATGAAAAGAACAAAGAAAACCGTGACTCTCAGTAGCAAGCGGGCTATATCCGGCGCTTTTTTAGCCTGTTTTCCACCTTTTACTATCAGGGCGCTTTGTCAGCCCTGTGCCTGCCGTCAGTGCTCTGGCTGCGCGCCCGCACTCCACGCACCCACTGTCCGTTCTCGGAAATATTTCCTTAGAGCAGGGACACGTGGAGCCCCCCCCCCCGACCCCCCCCCCCCTCCTTAGGTCTTAATCAAGGGCCCAACTGGAGGGTCCGAAGGCCCTAAAATGTCGGTCGCGCGGCCTCCTGCGTCCATAGGAGTCCCTAGGGTCATGAAGTCCCCTCTGTCGGTCACACTGCCGATGCAGAAATGCTCGCCCGTTTCGACATGCGGACCCATTTCCCAAGCAGCGGCACGGCCACGGCCCGCGATTACCTGTCAAAAGGCCTCAGTAGTCAATGTAGTCAGAAAAACAGCCGATAGGCACCCCAGTCTGGGATGGAAGGCCTTTCGGCCCCTGGCCGGAAAAGGTAAAGGGTTCCCTTGCTGTTCCATTGACGGTACGCGTAAGTGCACACGCCCATCGGTAAGCTGCACAACGTATTTTACCCTGTCCAAACCTTGCCAAAACACGGAACAGTGCCAGCTGGAAATTTTAAGCACAGGTTTGTCTCGCGATTCTGTATGGTGCAGAACAGGAGAGCACAAAGACTGCGGTCTATTTTCGCGCCAGCTTACGCCAAGACTACGGAGCCTGAAACTGCGGTGGAATTGGATGGGGGCCTCTTCGGGCTCGCGACTCTAATCATCACGAGAAAAGGGAAAGGTTGCTCAATTTTCGTTTCATGTTGTTTGCGTTAAATTCATACGCAGATTATATACGTATTTTCTACATAATTAATATATATATATATATATATATATATATATATATATATATATATATGTATGTATATCATAGGTAATTTAGAAGATGCCACCATCTGATGCGTAGGTCAATATAGAAATGCTTCTGGTGCCCAGTTCCGTTTAACAACCATGACAAAGTGCTGATGCATTCTCCATGTATATAAAAAATGAAGCTACTAAGACACAACACGAAAGAACTGAAACGCAAACTGCATAACTTCAAAGGCGCCGGACGTCGGGCAAACGCAGCTACCGAGTCTAAGCTTTCAACGTCAACCAGGGCTCCATGTTCAATGGTACGCCCGTTCGGGATTAACTGACACATCAACTATATCCGAGCACCATGCACACGACTCGCATCTTTGCAAACACATACGCTGTGCCACGCTCGTTCTTGAATAGAGCAGATCATGCAGCGTATGTGGCGCGTTACGCTGCAAGCAAGCAGCGCTGCGCATCATAGTTCTTGAACGCTGCCAGCTACACATTCGTCCGCCAAGGGACTGCGCACCCGTCTTATTGGCGTTGTCGCGGGGACAATGTGCTGTCGGGCCTCGCTGCCAACGGCATGGGCGTCGATGATGCACGGTCGCACGCGGTGGTGGGCAGTCACCAGACGGTCTCATCGACCATGAGCGGCGGCGTGTCGTCGGTGTCACACTTCACGAGCAGCGCTGGTCCGTCGGTGTCAGTCGTGACGCGCAGCGCTGGTCCATCGGTGTCAAATGTCAGGCGCAGAGCTGGTCCATCGGTATCGCCTGCCACAGACTGCGGTGGGCTGTCGGTGACACCCGTTCTGGGCGACGATGGTACGTCAGTGACATCCCCTGCATGCACGCGCTGGGTAGCGGCCCGACGCCGTTCGAGCTGCATTGGCGCCGGCGGCTGCTGTGCGCTGGGGCCGTCAGGCCGCTGCTGTGCGCTGGGGCTGCCCGGTCGGTGCTGCGCGCTGGGGCTGCCCGGTCGCTCTCGGTGCAAGCGCATGTGCCGCTGCAGAGCGCCGAGCAACTTGAACGCCTTGCCGCACCGGCAGCCGAAGGGTCGATCGTCGCTGTGGCTGACCAGGTGCCGTGTCAGCGCCTGGCGACACCGGAACGCCTTGCCGCACATGCCGCACGCGTGCTGTCGCTGACCGTGGCGGGTGCGCAAGTGGCTGGTCAGCCGCCGTTGGGTTTTGAATGTCTTGCTGCACACGGAGCAGGCGTGTTCGCTGGCATCGCTGTGGCTTGCCATGTGATCGTTCAGTGCAGCCCTGTCGAAAAAATGCCGCCCGCAGGCCGCACACGGCACAGGCTTATCTCGCTTGTGGACTCGGCTGATGTGCCTCTCAACTCGATTGCGCTGCAGATATCCATTTGGACAATATGGACACAGGAATTTCTTCACCTTGTTATGCACCATGCTCTTGTGGTTCCGGACGCTTGAACTGTCTCGGGCGCGGAACGCGCATCCGGCCCAGTCGCATGCGAACGGCTTCTGGCCCGTGTGGATCAGGCTGTGCGCCTCCAGTGAGCTCTTGCGCACGAAAGCCTTGCCACACTCAGGTATCTGACACACGTACGGCCTCTCCCCCGTATGGATCATGCTGTGCGCACGCAGCTGCCCCTTACGTTTAAAACTGCGAGCGCACACCGAACAGCTGAACGGATACGCCGCCGAGTGCACGGTGGCGTTGTGGCTACTCAGGTAGCGGGCAAGCTTGAACGTTTTGCCGCACAGGTCGCAGGCGAACGCCTCGGTGGCCGCGTGCGTCTTGAGGTGGCGCCGGAAGTCCTGCGTCGTGCCACACAGCTCCTTCTGACAGACGTGGCAGCGGCGGCGGCACCGAATGCGGTGGAGATTCAAGTGCGCTTCGAACCGCCGCACGGTGGCGAACGTCTTGTCGCAGGTAAAGCAGCGCCATGTCACGCCTCCAACAGCACTGGCCCCCTCCCCCCCGTCGGCCGACCACGCTGGGTCCACACTCATACCGCAGCCGCCCAGCGTCGCTTCGACACCCGCTCCCAACAGCAGGTAACGCACACTCTCCAGCCGCACCACGCCAGCACCCGACGTCCCCGCGAGCTCCATGACGACTCCGCGCCGCGTCAACAGTGGTCGCGCGCATCGTATTCCAAGCCCACGTGACTGGAAGAGCAGCAGCTCGAAACTGCGATCAGCTGTTGCAAATGTCCTTGAAATCACGTGCTAAAGAGCGCGCGCGTAAGTTTGGCGCGAAGATAGCGCGTAGAATGCGACACACTGCTGTCAGCCGCCAGGACAGGGCGAAAGGCGGAAATGACTAGACGCCGGCGAGAGATTTGAATGCATTATGACGGTAAAGTATTTTCTTATTTTAGGGAGGGGGGATATTCAGATATAAATTTTTATAAGCGTCAAATGTGCATCTAGATACACGACTAGTTGCAAAATGAATGTGAACACGTGAAAACAAGCTGCTTGGAACAAGAATTAAATGCCGCGTGGGAAATGGCGTGTCTGCCGCGCGCTGGAATGCATAATTTGATGGAACGTCGTGGTTGTGGCCTCTACGTTCCAAACACGGAATGCTCTAAACCCCGTTTTTTCAGGATCCGATTCTTCGCCGGTCTGTTTCCGCGATCTAGAAGCGAACCCCGGCCAAACTGGGCACGGCACAAATGTAGCTGAGAGGAGCGCAGCCAGGGCCTTGGGAAAGGTGGGGGGTAGGAGGCGCAGTGTTTAGAGAGGGGCCCCGCATGGTAAAAAGGACTTCCTTGCGAATAAATCGCCGGGTATGGCCCACGTCTTGAGTAGCACAGTTTTCTTTGAGCTGTTATTATCTTTACCTTTTAAAGCTCAAACAGCGACCAGCAGCTACCGCGAGATCAATTCCGTTTGCATCTTGGAGTGAATAAACTTTGGAAATCAGGCGTTAAACGACTATGGAATATGTCGCCGTCGCTCTTTGTTTCACAACGGCGCGGTGGACTCAGTAAAACAATAGGTCTCTAAAACTTCAGAATTTTTATCTGGATTCTACAGGGATGTTGAGGAACCAATGAACGTAAATTGCGGAACAAAATAGGTCAGAAATTTATGTTAGCATGGCCAAACCATGTTTGTAAACGTTCAGCAATCAACCTGTGTCGATTAAAGAGAGAAAATAACGTAGCATAGCTTTGAGCATGCGCTCAAACCATAGCCACAAAAACACGATAATCCGCGCTATAGTCTTTATACTTGGCGTCGAGTCCGCAGCTAACATTAAGCAGTGGTCAACCGGCGCACGAAAATCTGGCGTGTAATTTTGTCACTAGTCGATTCTTCAACGAAAATGAACGTTTTCAGACAATCATTGGCTGATCTTTTTCAGTTCTAATCTGATCTCGACCTACTCAGTTCAGCACCAATGAAACCCTTTAATTGTTTCCGGCAAGGGTCTCCCTGAGTAGAGCACTGGGGGGAACGATATCATTCTCGGTCAAGGGCTGAAGGGTCATTCTGTTCCAGCGCGGTTCGCCTTCCGGCTGTCATTCTGGTGACACGGGGCAGGATCTCCTGGTCGATCCGGAGGCTATTCGCCCTTCCAACTTGGAAGGACGTACGTTGCCCGATGCTGGCGGATGCTTTTGGTACCGCAGTGTCGAAGCTTATTCCCATCTTAGTGCATGTGATCCTCCTGGGCATGTAGATTCCTATTCAGTTTGGGGACTCAAGCCCCTCTCCCTCGCCCTCCTCACCACAACCATTCCCAACTTGAGCGCCAGCCTTGAGAGAAATGGGCCAAATCTGAGGACAACACATCTGCTGGCGAATTTCGGGGGCAGGTTTCATAGTTGTTCATGGCTTAGCCCCCCCCCTTTTATAATCTCCTTTTCAAAAATACGCCCTTGTATCCTCGCAACCAGAAAGCCCTGTCATGTATCGCCCTACAAACGTTTGTATGTAGAGGAGACAGAGAGTTGCTTCAGTTTCGCTCTAAGCTCCCTAATACCATAGCTACTGTGGATAAGACTAGGATTCTCATATCTACAGACAGCCAAACTCTTGGGCTCCATATATGGTGGACGTCTTCATTTTGGAGAACACATTTTGATTTTGTTGTCGTTGTTTTTTTCATAAGTTACGTTTAAATGAACCCATTTCAAACAGCACAATCTGGCTAGTCCTGGGGTAAATTGTATCAAACGGTGGGAGAATTTGTGTCGAAGTTGTTTTTTTTGGCAGCGAGATGGCTGCATCGTAAGCATGCTGAATGTGTTACAATGTGTGAACAAAATACGCTCGTGTCTCCGAAGTCGAAATTCGTCGAGATGAGATGGCATGGCAAAGTGCTGTCTTTTTAATCAGCCAATGTTTGTTTCACCCCTACCGTCTTCCCGGCTTTGGCTGCTCAGGTAGGAATTATATTTATTGGTGTCATAAATACGGACGTATGGTCCAGATGACGAATGTCATGGCAACAGTGGCCGTCAATCATGGACAGCACGTCAGTTCATGACACCATTGACGGTCAGTCATGCGATGACATCGTTGTCCGTACATTGTGCCACTGATCACATGCCCCATGCACAGGTGATATCTTTGTACCACTGATATTACGTACCACCCGATATCCTGGAAAAAGCTAGCACCGTCCCGAATTCCTTGGCTATCACACGCTAACTGTTTTGCGGCATGTGCGGTTCATGTGCTTTCCCAGTATCAGTATTGCATTCAGATCAGCCGCGTATTTGTCGCGCTCACCCCATCACGATTACACACATGCCGCCGGAAGAGCACGGAGAGTCAGAGAGTGCTGCTGTGCATCAGCTTAAGCACTTAAGAGTGCCGTCCGTTGTTTAGGTTTAAAGTTAATCGCCCTGATACCACTTGGGTATGTTATAACTAATCACACCCTCCCCCACAGTGACAAAACATGTATGATTACCCAACCGCGCAGCCAGAGCCTTGGCAAGGGGGGGGAGGGGGGCACAGGGTTGACAAAAGGGCCATTGATCGTGAAAAGGTTTTCCCCAAAACATTATATTTTCGATACGGCCAATTTTTAACGAGGGCATGCTTTGCATTGACATTTTCCCATTTTTGCCTTCTATAACTGGATAAGAAGCCAGCAGCCGCCGCGAAACAAACTCTGATTGATTTCACAGTAAATAAACTGAAAAAATTATGCGTTAAGTGGTTGCATGAAACAGAGCACCGGCGTTCTGCATTCAACAATGATCCGATGGACTTTTCCAAATGGATATAACTCAGAAGTCCCGTCAAGTTTTCATATGGCTTTTACAGATGTATAAGGGCTCGCAAATGAAGACTGTAAATCGAAATAGGTCAGCAATGTGTATTAACATGGCTAAGTCAAACGAGTCCTTTGCCAACACAGGGCCCCCTATTAGGCGCTGTGGGGCCCTGACAGACGCTGAGGCCCCGGCCAACCTAAATCGCTTGCTTCTGTTTTGTCTCTGCTTGCGGAAGGGGCCATTAGGACCATGCCAACGCTGAGCCGGCTGTGCGTTATTGGGGGGTGTCTGACCGATATATGGGCCCTTATCGACCCAGGGGTTTCCTGAACAGCATGCGGGGCCGTCTGGATAACATTCAGGAGTCCGGTCTTGCGGGCCAGGCCTCTGAAAGCGGCCTCCAGCCAGCCTTTCGGGCCCTTCAGTCCCTCAAATTGGGTCCCTCGGGCCCTCAAATCGGGTCCTTAACGTGAGTTGGGGCCCTGGGGAGGGGGAGTGTTCTCTGTGGGCCCCCTGCCCGCGCTTCTGTGTTTGCCCCGTGGCTACGGTATGGCATCCGTCTCCAATAGTTTTGTGTTTGCCTAAGGAAAAATGGAAACAGAGAGTACATTTGGCCACCTATTACGGTGACGACACAAGCATCCCAATGACACGCTGCTTGAGGATTACATACTTCACATGCTTCTTTAAGGTTTGCACCACCACCATTTATGGTGCGGTCTTAAGCGCAGCCAAATGTTCCCTGACGTGATACGTTTAGGCTGGCAAAAGCGACTGCAGCATGAGCTAGATCCATTGCATACGGGCGAACGTAAGCAAATAACTCACTGCTGATGCGTTGACCCTCCTTTACGTCACCAAGTAAAGTCAGGGGTATCATATTGTAATAATGGCTATAGTTGCCCATTGGCAAATGGCACGTGGACGCTTCCTTTTCCCCTCTGATAGCGGTAACCTGCATAACGCTGATAAACCAACCCTGCCAACTGAAGGATTGGTAGCGCAGCTTTCGCGCGACCTGGCATACGAATGTTGCGAGCTTGTAAAGAGACAGAACTGATTGAAATTGAGCCTCTTCAGGTCACGTGAGTGGCATGTTACGACACCACCATAGCACATTTCAAGTCAGAAACACTTATCTGGATCTCTTGGCTGCCATATGACCTCTGCTTGACAATGGGCCATTACATCAGAGGTACATTCCCATCTATAAGGTTGAAATTTAGGTACATGCACACTTCGGAAGGTCGGTGTGCATGAATTGAAATGTTTCATCCACACTCCAAAACTCGTTTCCACAAGCTTAGAGATTATATTTGAATGAGCAGCTGTCACAGCGTTTCCCCACATTGATGGATCACACGACTAACGATGTATATTTAAACATGCATTTGGTTTGCATACCTGGTATATGCACGATACATTAGGTGCAAATTTATTTGTGTAGTACATTATATCACTATGCTGCATTGAAGGATTATTTATCAGGATATTACAATTACGGTGCATTCCACAAACACAAACGTTGATCAAACCGACATCAAAATTGCTGCATTTTTGAAAGATAAAACCCTTTTATAGCTCATTCTGATAAAAAACAACACTGAACAATCTGTATGGCACCCACTGTCTCCCAGTCGTCTGGCTGTGGTTCTTGCACTTGGATCAACATCTGCTTAATGCGAGCGGCAACAGTTTAGAAGCTTCCGCGCTGCGAAAATAAATGTTATTAAGGCTGCTCTTGGCAAAGTCTACATATGCTCATGAATCGTACAGCTTATGACAATTATCGTCAAGCTTTTTAAACTGCATGACAAATGTCAACAATAGCTGTTGGAAAATACATACCCTTGAGTTGTTGAAAAACCG